TTCACCATCTTCACTTTAGCTTAGGGAGAACCATTTCAGACTTTTGATCCCAACAACTGTAACTGAGTAAATTTGTGTGGTGTTAAGTCACTAAGTTGGAGGTGGTTTGTTACACAGCAAGAGAAAATTAACACATTAGCCTTTTGTGGTTAACATAAACTAGATGCGCGCGTCTTGAGAAGTATGGAGTATGAGTAGGAGGAGGCTGAGTCTGACTCATCAATGGGCTGAGTGACTCAGGACAGGTACTGTGCATGCTGAGCCCCATACCCTCTTCTGTAAAATGGCGATGATGACAGCTTCACCTTTCAATTATTTATCTGAAATATTTTTTATCTGAGCTGAGGGAAGCATCAGATAGTGGAAAGGGACTGGGTTTTGAAGTTAGTCAAACCTGTGTTCAAAGTCCAGCTCCTTTATGTACTGGCTTAAATCTTAGGCAAGTTCCTCAACCTTGCTGAGCTTTTATCTATGAAATGGGGACCATGGTGCCTCCTGGGGTTGTTCGGAGGATTAAATCCATCAGTACATGTTAAGTTCTTAGAACAGGATCAAGCAAGTCACACATGCTCACAAATTATTGTGTTTATTATTGCTGTGACCTCAGCTAGTTATCACATAAAAGACTTTTGCTTACTTGACGTGGGCTGGGACTGCACGACACACCTATTTCATAGATTCTCATAAGGATTAAAGAATTGTGCCTGACACTCAGCATTCTAAAAAATAACTTCCTTTTCTACACGTTTGTGGATAATGTGGAGGTAGGTACTTTTTAGAAACTTCACAAAGAATTGTATGATAGTTCAGTTCTCTTTGGAGAAAGAGCTTGAATTGAATCTCAGATGTTCTCTGTGATTTAGGGTAAGTTACTTAACCTCTCACCTCCCCAGTTGCTTTGAGATTTATAATGAGGCTAAAGTCAGTTTGTAACAGGTTGGAGTCACATATATTGTTGTAAACCAGTGTTATTGCACTTCAAAAAAAAGTAGAATAAAGGAGACAGTGGCACACAGGAAAGTTATATGAATCAAATAGTTTGATTCTTAAATGCAAAAAAAAAGAGAGAAATTGATTTAGACTGTGAAGAGGTAGTCTAACACACAGAAAATATTTGCTAAGTGGTAGCTGGTATTAAGGTAGAAAGATACCTAACTTTACTGGTGTATACTTTCAGATCAAAAGATTATATTGTACATAGTATATGCTCAATAAAATTTTGGTTGACTATATTTAACTTCAGAAAATAACCTTTTTTGCATTGTCATCTTGGGGCTTACTTGGATTGCTAAAAAATCAAGTTTCCCTATTTACATAAATAATCAATTATTGCTATTAAAACTTAAAAAGTATGGAAAAGAATAAGGAAATCACAAAGAGATAATCACCATCAATAATTTGGAAAATACTTTTCCAGTTCTTCATGCATATCCACATGAATAAAGTTTGCACACTTTTATACATACAAGTCTACATGTATTTCCACTACACAATACACTTTGTCACTTTGTAAATTTCTTTGATTTCATTTAACAAGATGTCGTAGATACTTTTCCAGGGAATGTAATACTGACCTTTGTAGGAAATGAATAGCACTTCCTTAAGGGATTATCCAGACCTGGTAAGTCAGAGAACTGGACACTAGATGGCGGTGTTGAAACAAAAATTTTGGAAAATGAGTGAGTTACACAAACAGAAGGCCTGGAGACTCTTCAGCTGAGTGATATTATTGACATCCTAATAAGTAATAACTGGTGAAGGGACATTTATATAATTGTCTGTTTTACTTTGGAGGCGCCACATCCCTCCATCATGGACTGCAAACATTAGCTCCTAAGACTGGAAAGATTTGTTAGACTGCATTCACCTTATCGCCCAATTGTGAAACCAAAAGCCTACTCTATGGAAGGAATAAACTATTTGCCATCTCTTTGCATGCTCCTCCCAGGCCCATAACAGACTCATCAGATGGACTGAGGCTCTTTCCCTGGCCCCACCAGGAAAGCAAGGCTGACTCTTGCACTATGGCCATCAACCCACTGCAGCAGAGGCAGCCCTGCTCCCTGCCTTGGCCTAGGTACTCTGCCTGGAACAGGCTCCCTGCCTTGGCCTAGGTACTCTGCCTGGTGCTTCACTCTGAGATCCCAAGTTCCAGAGACCTTGATCCAAATCTTTGGGAACTTACTCTCGCCATAGCCTCTGCATCCACAGAGAGATCCTGGGTCCTCTGGGACTTTTGGAGTCCCAGACTCCTGAGGTCACCTTGTTTTTGTATACACTGCTCTATTTTTGATCCCAAAACATATACGTGCATGCAGATACAGACACCCCTGGGTATTCCTGCTGTAGAGCCTCCTACCATTTGAATACCATCAAAATACTCTGTGATTCAGGGCACAAGGGCATTTTTGGAGTCAGGGCTCGGCTATGTCACACTCAGGGACAGTAACCCCAGGGGTCTGTTTTTTTTTTTTTAATTTATTTATACAAGCACTGGGTACAGTCAGAAGCGCGGGAGGGTGAGAGAATTCACCAGAGCCAGAGCGGGGAGCAGAACAGGCAGATGGACCGAAAGCACTGCTGAGGGGAGCAGCGGGCGGCAGGAGAGGTCTGCATGCCATGTGGGACCCTCGCCAGCGGCTGGGGATGGAACCAGCGCTGCAGAGGCTGCGGACAGCTTTGCAGCCCAGCTCTCAACCTCTGTGCCACCAGGGGAGGCCCCCAGGGGTCTGTTTTCACACTGAAACATGGACACAAATTTCATCTTCCTGGAAGTGGCACAGGGGGAGAGAAGTAGCTTTGTTCACACTCTATGAAATGTGACAAGTTACATTTGCTCTGGAAACTGAACTTTTGGCCTTAGCTGGAGGAAATGTTAAAATTTCAGAGCCAGAATAAGGAGAGTTTGGTATAGGAAAGGGTATCAGTGAAGAGTTAAGGACAATGAAGGACTCTTCCTGCTCACAAGCAACTACAAAGAGAGACAACTAGTGACCCAAATGAAATCCAATCAATTTGATAACATTCAAATGAATAGATTTCAATTCCGGTACAGTTTTTGAGTTCCTACTCTGGCAAGTGGGTATGAAAGGTGCAGTGGCTGCGGCTGATCCCTGCCCTCTGGAGGTGTAACTGAGAAGAGAGTGCATATGCACTACCCCCTCCTCTTCCTGAATCCAGTGGCCAGGGACTTGGTGTATCTTGTTAATCACCCTTTGTAGTGTGCCTTGAACACAGTAGGAGCTCATTATTGTGTTCAGGTGAATAAGCATATGATCCATGCAAGGCAGAGTGGAGATGAAGAGAGGGAGCTGGAGTGCAGATGAGAAAGGGGAGAGTGCTGAGAGGAGGAAATTTTGAGCAGAGCATTGAGGAATGGGTAGGTTTTGAAGGACAATGATCTGTCATAGGCAACGAAGGCAAGAGAGAAAAGGGGAAAGTAAACCGGACTAGATCAGACCAGACCAGATCAGACTGGACCGGACAGGTCCAGACCAGACCAAACCAAATTAAACCAAACACATTCAGGTTTTCTGTGGCAGGAGATTCTTTAAGCGTTTTATAAGCATTAATTCATTTAGCTTCACAACTACCTTATAAGAAAAGTGCTATTAATTGTCCTCCTCTGAGAGATGAGGAAATGGGGGCACAGAGAGGTCAAGTAAGGGCCCAAGATCAGAATCACTCAGTGACAGAGCCAGCATTCAAACCCAGGAATCTGTCTCCAGAGACGGCATTCTTAACTACTGCGGTGGGCTGTGCAAGTAAGGGCAGACTGTGTCCCAGGCCTGGGAATGACTGTGTAGTTCTTCCAAGAAGCGACACTTCGTCACCCATTGGGTTTGGACCAATTCGGTGACTTGGTTTGTTGAGCCCCATGTCGCAGAGATAACCCCAGCAGTTCGATGCCTCAACCACACTTGCTACATTTTCTCGTCTGTTGGAGGACACCCCACGTAGGGAGCAGAAGGGCCTTGACCCGAGTCCCTAAGGCATGTGAAAACACATGCGTCTCGGAGGAAAACCTCTGAGTGACAGGACTTGGTATTGAGAGCCTGAAAGTGACCTGCATACATCTCCACAGTTTGAGAACAACAAAAATAATGAGCGAACTTCCCAGGCTCTGGCTAGGGGGCGATAAGATTATGTGCGTGAGAACTAACCACCTGGTACCCTACTGTCTGAAGTAAATAGATAATAGTAAGAAAATAGACTAATCACTCATACATGTTATCATTATATGGTATGCTTTGATGTTACACCTGCTGCAATTAAAATAGCATGTAATGAGCACTAAGGCAATAAAAGATTTACTGCATGCTAGACATGACAGTCCCCCATGTCTGATTTCTCTCACCGTCGTGTCTCAGGTCTCGGACTCACTAGAAGTCCACACTTGCCTGCAACAAAGTGAACATCACCAGCCCATGCCCTCTTTGTTCTGATGGGAGCCAATTTCCTAAACCCCCCAGCTGAACCCAGCACAAATTTGCCACTGCACAAAACCATGAACTAAATAAATGGTAGTTATTTTAGGTCCCTAAGATTTGGAATAGTTTGTTAAACAGCAAAAGCTAATTGTTTCTTGACCTCTTAAATCACTCTCCACTTGGTAGAACACATTTCATGAAGAATTTGCATGCAATCTCAGAGTTAACGCATGAGTTGAGATGAAAAAAGCACAGATTGGAGAAGTTAATTAACTTCAAATCACACTGCTAAGAGATGGGAGTAACAGGATAAAAATACATGGTTTCAAAAGTAAGAGTTCAACTAGTGCTGCTAAGGAACAGAAGCTACTTCTGGCTCTAGACAGAACCGTGAATTGGCAGGGCTGCTGACCCTTCTGTGGAATAGAGATGCCACAGAAATGAGAGGAAAGCTCTGGGTTTCAAAGGACCTGAACAAAACCTATGAACACCCTTGGGGAGCAGCAAACTGATTATGACCCATGTCAGGGTGCAGAGAAAGTTCCCATCCCATCTAGCTTCTTCTGAGGCTGCACTGATGAGCAGACTAACACCAGAAAGGTGAGTAGGAGAAAAGGCAAAAATTTAATAACATACATATGGAGAATGTATATGGTAATAACATATATATGGAGAACGTACACGGCTGTAAACACTAAAGAATACTGGAGCAGATTGGGGATAATTATTCTGTGTTTAAGAACCTAGGGCATTACGGACAGGGGAGGGGGGGACTTCACATGACAGACAAGGAGAGGGTCACCTCATTCTTACTCTGAGAATAAGGATGAGAATGTCAGATAGAGAAGGCATGTTCACACCTGGATGGGACCCCCCTCCAAATACTTTCCTGCACATCATAAAGGAGGGGGGAGTGATTGCTTCCTCAATTAGGAATAGGGTAGAAGCTTAGGGAGTGATGGTCTCTTTTTCACTTATGGCAGAGCGAAGGACGTAGGCAAGGACAGAGCTTCTCTTTGCCTCCAGGGCTCTCACTGCTCTCAACACAAAGCAACCTACATTCTCTAAGTTACTATACAGACCTGAGGTGCACCCACCTCTAGTTTCATATCTTCTTACCAGGAGAAGTTACTCTGGGCATATTGGGAAAAGTCAATCTGACCCTTGTGGAGGGACAGATCCCACACTCCAGATTAGAAGGGAAATTTAGCACAGGTAGAAAAAGACCAGTCCCCAGTAGAATGGGGGTAAGCTTGAGTTAGACTATTTTGTCTATTGGGTCACTGAAAGCTCTGAAAGCTCTATCCCAATGTAGAAGAGAAATGTGGTGACTCTAGCCCAAAGCCTCAGATTTGGGATAACTGGAGATGGTGGTAGGGCACAGTGAGGAGATAACTAAAGTGCAGTCAGATAAATGAAACTCTGTGTTCCCTACTCTCCCATCTCTGCCTAAAAACAATGACACTGTTTTTCTCTGCGGCCACACTCACTCTGGACGCTGTTTACCTGGAGTTAGCATCAGACCACACAAATGGAAGGACTTAATCTGACATGGCAGCCTGCACCTCTTTCTTCCCCAATCCAAGTTCTAGGTCACCTGTACTTCTATCTAGCTAGAAACACAGCCTACTCAGGCTTGATAACTTGCTAGAATGGCTCAAAGAAACAGAGCACTTACCAGTTACTAGTCCATTATAAAAGGATACATTTCAGGAGCTGCCAGTGGAAGAGGTGCCTAAAGCAAGAGAAGAGGGGCAAGGAGCTTGCAGGTGCACTGGGCATGGGCCACTGTCTCAGCACCTGTACATGTTCTCCACCCCCAAAGTTCTCTGACCCCGTGGTTATAGTTTTTATGGAAGCTTCATTTAAGCAGGTACAGATGGTGACATCAATGGCCAGGGCGACTAAATTCCATCTCCAGCTCCCTCCTCCTCCTGGAAGCCAGGGTATGGGGATGAAATTCCAATTTCTAACCCCAAAGTTGGTTCCTCCAGCAACTAGTCCCCTCTCCCACTAAGAGTCTTCGCGTAAGCATAAACTCAGGTTCAGTGGAAAGGGGATCACTTTCATCTTTGTAATTCTTTTTTTTTAATTAATTTTTTTTTTATTTATACAAGAGCCAGGGTACAGGCCAGATGTGCAGGAGGGTGAGAGGATTCACCAGAGAAGAGTGGGGAGCAGAAGAGGCAGACTGACTGAAATACACTGCTGAGGGGACCAGCAGGTGAGACAGGAGAGGTCTGCCGCACCATGTGGGTTGCTCTGAGGCTGGCGGGGATCGAACCAGCACTGCAGAGGCTGTGGACATCTTCACAGCGCTGCGCTCAACCGCCTGCACCACCAGGGAAGCCCCCCATCTTTATAATTCTTAAGAGATGCCAAGGACTTTAAGCGCTCAGAACAAAGGAAGATGAAGACCAAACATATTTTTTTTAATTTGTTTCTCCCCACCATATATTCTGTTACCCTTTCCCTCCCTCTTCACCTCAGAAACCTCATTTCAGTTATCAGTGTCTCTGAGCTTTGTAACTACTTTGCTTTGTCAGTTCCTCTGCTTTGATTCTGTATTGCAGTCCTCTGTGTGAAGTTGTCCATTATTTGTCTTTATCTTTTTGACTGACTTTGTTACCCATAATTCCCTCAAGCTCTTTCCACTTATACATTCCTTATAATAATCACAATATCACAGCTCCACACGTCCAGGGCTGGGCAAATACAAGACAGAGAGAAAAAAGATCTCTCAGGGAAGATGTTTGTCAGGTTTATGGCGCTTCTCCAAATAAACTGGAGATCTGGTCAGAGTCACTTGAGAAAGTGCAAAAAATAGACGGTGCTTCCCTCACCCTGCTCCCCAGGATGATACAAGCAAGAGTTTGGGCATCAACTTCTCGCTCTGGGGATATCACCAGGAGAAAGTGAACTCAGAGGCAAAAACATCAAGATGACACAGGAGGATGTTCTGAGACAAAGAATAGTGCCCACATGACCTGTGCTAGAGAAACAGAATTTAGGGCAAATGTGGACCGGACTTTAAAATAAAACTAAGCATTATAAATATCCTCAAGGAAACAGGAGGTGATATTGTACTGTGACGCCAGGACAAAAAGTAGCCAAGAAGAGACTAACAGACACCCTGTGGGAACACAGCGGCTGAAACACAGTGGTTGAAAGCCCGAGGCAGTGAATATGGCGCCGAGCTGAAAGGATACAGACAGTAAGTGCTGAGCCAGAATGTAAGGCTAAAAAGTGCTCCTAGAAGCATAGAGTTAAGTCTGGTTTGCACCAAATCCTGTAGAGTTTTGTTGAAATAAATTTCTAGGCCTGAAATAGAGCTGCTCCTGCCCATCATATCCTGTCAGCTGGTCCCTAAATGCCCTGCCTGCTCTGGGCTCTGTGCTTGCTTCTTGTTTGTTACGTTTTATTATCTAACTGCTTCCTGCCTACTGTCCATTTTGCAATTCTCTGGGCCCCTCAGAAAGGAGACTGCCTGCTTCACAAAGTGTTCAAGTTTATTTGTATCACCTAAACTGTCTTTTTCTTTGTAGGAACAAATTCTCCCCCACCTTCAATCTCAATCTCTATTTCTCCGTGTCTCTGTCTCTATCTCTTTTTCTCAGATGAAAGGAAGCATACTGGGCCTCCCCTGGTGGCGCAGTGGTTGAGCGCTGGGCCGCGAAGCTGCCCGCAGCCTCTGCAGTGCCGGTTCAATCCCCGGCCGCCAGGAGGGTCCCCATGGCGTGACAGACCTCTCTTGCCACGTCCGCTGCTCCCCTCAGCAGTGTATTTCGTCAGTCTGCCTGTTCTGTTCCCTGCTCTGGCTCTGGTGAATTCTCTCACCCTCCCATGTTTCTGACTGTACCCAGTGCTTGTATAAATTAATCTTTAAAAAAAAAAAAAAAAGGAAGCACACTATACACTGTTCTGAACTTTGCGTTTTCATGCAACAGTATATCCCAGGGATTGTTCCGTAGCAAAGGAAGGGATCGCCCTCCTATCCTCTACGGCTGTAGTGTGCTCCATTGTGTGGATGTACATTAGATTCACTGGTGCTTCTCAGTTGTCCCAGCTGGAGTGTGAGTATGAGTGTGAGTGCATCCTGTGGTGGAAGGGCGTCCTGTCCAGAGCGGGGCCCGGCCTTGTACCCTGAGCTGTCTGACCTTGGACTGGAATAAGTGGGCTAAAATGTAAATGAAGAAATGAAGAAACAAATGAATATTAACATTAGTTAATATTAGTGTTTTGGGTTTTATTTACAAGTTTGATGACATTTTTTGGACCAGACATATGCAATTGGAACTTAATTCTTGTTTATATCAATTAGCCTAAGGTAAAATTAATTACAATGTCATTTGGTTATATGTCATTTTGTTCAAGGTAGTTTCTAAGAACCGACTGATGGCATTAAGGATTTAACTGCACTACAGTTTATCCATAGTCCCTGACTGATGGATATTTGGATTTTTCCCACTTCTTACTGCAATGAATAATCTTGTTCACTGCTACTTTTTTTTTTAAGTTAATTTTTTTAAAAAGATTTATTTATTTATACAAGCACTGGGTACAGTCAGAAGCGTGGAAGGGTGAGAGAATTCACCAGAGCCAGGGCGGGGAGCAGAGCAGGCAGAAAGGCTGAAGTACACTGCTGAGGGGAGCAGCGGGCGGCAGGGGAGGTCTGCGCGCCATGTGGGACCCTCCTCCGGTGGCCGGGGAGCAGTCGGGGATCGAACCGGCACTGCAGAGGCTGAGGGGCAGCTTCGCAACGCAGTGCTCAACCACTGTGCCACCGGGGAGGTCCTCACTGCTACTTTTTAACATATATGTAAAGCTCATGGCCAATGCTAGATCAAGAAAAAGGCAAAGATTTATAAGGATTCAAATAAAAAGATAAAAAAAAACTGTTCAATATGCCGATATACTAGAACTAATACAAGTATCTGGCAAAATTGTTAGATACAAGGTCAACTTATAAAAAAAATCAATGTTGTTCCTTTCAGTAATAAACTTGAAATTGATACAGAAAATAAATTTCTCTTGATGATAACAAGTGCATAAGAGGATGGTAATTAAAATATAGTGAACACAGACTAAATTAGTTAGAAGCTTTGAAGTAGATCTTCATATAGGAATAGCTGTATCTTTAAAAAGATGCCAAAGTGATAAAAGCAGCTGATTAAAATTACATTGGAAGTATATAAGCACGCAGCACCACACATTTCATGACAATATATGCCTAGTTCAGAACATTATATAAAAACCATTATTGTTAGTGACTTAGACGGTCAGGAATGAAGGGAAAGAATAAAGAGATAAAATAAAGCAAGAGAGGTGTTCTGCATGGACTGATGAAGATAATATGCTAAGAATCAGGATGATGCTATGGATTTTTAGTGGGGAACATCTGTAGTATATACAGATATTGATTTGTAATGATGTACATTTGATACATGTTATGATGCAATGTTGTATCAGTAAATTTAAAAAGAATTAGGATTATGCAACTCTTCATCTAAGGTAAAACAAAACAAAGCCTCATGATTGGACATCCTGCAAGTCCACAAGCATGGGGCTCACATTGCATGGGGTAAGCGAAGGTACTTAAA